CTGCAGGGACCCCCCACACTCCTCTTTTGGGGTGCACCCCTGAATAAGGGGTCTCAACCCTCCTCCCCACCTGGGTTTGGGGGCTCCCCCATAGCCTGGGAGGGCACAGAGCCTGATCTGAGGTTTGGGGGTGCGCAGACCCCCCCCCCACCCTGACGAGGGTGGGCTACACGGCTCCCCCGCATCCTGAGATGGGTCTGGGGTCCTCAGCACCCTTCAGAGAGCACGGACCCCCCCCAGATGCCCGAATTGGGGGTGACGGTCCCCAGACCCCCCTCCCAGTCTGGCATCGGGGGTTCACGGCCCCCCCCAAAAGCGGATTGCTCCCCGCACGGAACACTTGGGGGATAACGCCCCCGAGGACCCCAGATTTGGGGTACAGCGCTCCCACTTCGGGCTGACTCTTCCAAACTTCTCCAGCTCTCCCCGCTTCCCCCATGCCCCCCCCCGGACCCCGAGCTTTGCCTTGCGAGTGCTTCTGGGGGGACCCGGCGCCCCCGCGTCCCGCCGCCCCCCGCCCGCGACCCCCGTGTCTCTTCTGTCCCTTCTGCTCTCCTTTGTCCCCCCCCCCGCCCGCGACCCCCGTGTCTCTTCTGTCCCTTCTGCTCTCCTTTGTCCCCCCCCCCGTGCCTGCACGGCTCGTGGCTGTGTCCCCCCCCCGCCGTGGCTGCGACACCCGCGGGTCCCCTTTTTCCTTCCTCCCCCCGCCCATGTCCGTGTGTCCGCGTCCCCGCCGTCCGGGTGTCCCGTCGCCCCCCGCCGCCACCACCCCGTGTCGCTGTCGCTGCAGGGCAGCAGCTCGGTCAGCGGCAGCCCGGTGCTCTCCACGTCCGGGACCAGCACCCCCCGCCGCACCCGCCGCCAGCTCCCGCCGACCCCCGCCACGCCGCGGCCCCACGTCTCCTACTCGCCCGCCGCCCGCCGCCCCCCGCCCGCCGCGCCGCCCCCCGCCCGCGGCCCCCGGCGCCCGCCGCCGCCCGCCGACCCCCGCCCCGCCGCCCGCCCCGCCGCCCGCTGGCCCGAGCCCCCCCGCGGGCCCCACCGCGACGCGGAGCCGCCGCCACCGCTGCCGCTCGACGGACGCGCCCCCCGCGCCCCCCGCGGCACCGTCACCCCCGGTGGGGGCGGCCCGTCGCCCCCCCGGCCCGCCCGGCGGCTGCCGAACGGGTACTACCCGGGCCACGGCGCCGGGAAGGGGCGGCCCGGGCTCCGCGACCCCTACAGCGAGACGGACGATGACTGCTGCTAGCGGCGCCTCCCACGGCGTGTCGCGACAGGGCGCGCACGCGGCCGGCATATCGCGACAGGGCGCTCCGCCACGTGTCGCGGCCAGGGGGGTGGGAGTCGCCACCCACACCGCACCCCCCCCCCCGCCCGCTCCCGGGGTTTTGGATGAGTTTTATCATCTGGAGGAGCCGCCGCCGCCGCGGGGGGGGGCGGCCCCGGGGACCCCCGAGACTCCCCGGGACCCCGCGAAGCTCCCGGGGGAGCCCCCCGGCCGGGAGGAGCCGCCGGGGCGGGAGCGGAGCCCGGGAGGCTCCGGGATGGGCACCGGGTACCGCCACCGGCAACAGCGGGAACGGGCACCGGGAACACCGGGAACGGGCAACCGGCCCCCCACCCCGCCCGAGGCACGGAGGCGGCAGAACCGGGGCCGCCGCCATTGCATGAACCGAGTAACCGAAACCAGAAATAAAAGATCAAAGGCAAAAAAAAAGAAAAAAAAAAAGAAAAAAAATCCCAACAAAACCGAACTGAACCCGAACCCGAAAAGTCCCAAACCAGAACCATTAAAAAAAAAAGGAATTTTGGATCGAGCCCGTCTCGCTCCTTCCCGGGATCGGGGTGGGAGAGGGAGGGACAGCGGCGGGGAGGGGGGGACACACACACGAACCCTCACGGGCCCGGAGCCCCTCGTGACCCCCCGGTAACTCCGCGCCGCCCCTCGCGGGGAGCGCCTGGAGCTCCCAGCGGACTGGGGGGGTTTCCCGGGTGGTCTCCCCGCCCCCGCGGCAGGTGCCGGATATTCCCCCACCCCCGTGTCCCGCTCGGGTGGGAAACTGAAGCAGGAAGAGGCGCGGGGGAGGCCCAGGGGTCCGGATCCGCCCCACCCCGGTTCGGACC